AAAAGTATCAGGGCTCAAAGCAATTGGACCAATGGTTTCCGAGATATACTCTAAAAATTGTTGATTTTCTGACAAATGTTGCTGTATCTTGCAAACCGTTGCGTTGGTCCAATCGCTTTTTCACCTTACAGTTTTCGATAGAACTCGTCGAGTACTATAAGAAACGCTACTCAGAACTACTCGGTACTCTCAAAAAAATTTTCAAAGATTTCCACTATTTTTTTTAAACTTTATTATATTTAAAAAATGTTTTTTATGTATCAAGAACTCTAGGTATTCACAAACAAAATAGTTCTGTTAAGCTGATCAGAACTATGCGACCTTGAATTTCGTTAAAAAGTTAGCACCCCATTTTTTAAAAATTATTAAAAAATTATTATTAAGCGCATATGTCATTAAAAATCATAGAGAACTCTTCGTATCATCAAAAAGAAGCAGGAATTATCATCAGAACTATTATATCTAAAAATTAATTCTTTTTAAATTTTTAATTTTTTTTTTATTATTCGAAAATTTTTTTTACATATCAGGAACTCTAGGCAATCACAAATTGAATCTATTAAGCCGCTCAGAACTATTCCACCTCGAAATTCGATAAAAAGTTAGCACCCCATTTTTAAAAAATGTAAAAAAAATGTTTATTGAGCGGAACTCTTGTTATTAACTATAGGGAACTCTTCGTCTCGTCAAAAGGAAGTGGGAACTCTAATCAGAACTATGACCTGAGTACTATAGTTGGAGTGCTAACTTAACATACCCCTAAATCGAAGTCATACAATATAAAGGATCCTGCACAAATCTTATGGAAAATATAACCCAATCGAATTGGTTGATATTTTTCTATAATGTAAAGCATGTTGGAAATATGGCTAAATTTCAACAATATCTCGAAAACTGTCCATTTTTGGACTTCGTTCCTATAAGGACTTTTGATCAGGACATCATCTACATTATAGGAAAATTTCAATCAATTCAACTAGAATCAATTTTCCATATGATTTGTGCGGGATCCTTTAATTTTCGTTTCGTGTCAGCTTTTATAGTTTTTTCAAGAATTTTTCGAACTAAAAACAAGCTGACCGTTAGCCAGTCGATACGATTAACTGTTATATTCAAGCAGATTGATTATGATAACTTTATACGAAATCATAAATTTTTAATCTATTTTTATGCGCATAAACTTAGCTTTTCCGTTCTACACGCTATTTTATTTATATTTTATTTTGCATTATCATTGTCATATAAATTCTCGTATCTGTTTCTTTATAACACGAGCATATGCTGATAATGTAGAAATAAATTTATTGGACTTTCTTAATATTGTTCCTGCGGACAATTTAACATTAAAATATAGAATCTTTTGTTTTTATGGTTATTTAATTTATTGATTAATTAAAATTTTCGATTTTAATAAATAAATGGTGAAATATTAAATCATTTAAATATGCATGCAACTAATTAAGAAAAAGCTATTATTTTGTTTTTATAAATTTATTAGAAATATTTGATCAACGATAAAATATTTACTTCAACGCTTTATAATTAAAATGCTTATAATTCATAAAATGATTATAATTTAAATTGCTTTATAATTAAAGCTTCTTAAGTATTCAAAATATTTTCCATAGAACTCAACAGATTTTTTCTAATAAAAAAAGTGTGAAAAAATCTTTTTATAATTTCTTTGAAAAACTTTTTGATGCGTGAATATAGTTTTGTTGGAGCTTTGGAACATAACATCGTTATTTCTGTAGTGATACTTTCAACCTATCAAAAAGATAATCTTTTCGATTTTTTAAATCAAATTAGAATGAATATATGAAAAAAATTCCAGGTCTCAGATTATGTTAAAATTCCTGTTTATTTCTTTATTTACGATAAACTTGATAGTAATATGTTATATAATATTTCGCTACATGCTCCATTCCTGTATTTCTAACTCATTTTTTCCTGAAATTTCTCTAATATTCTTTTTTCTAATATAGATTAACTTCAGATACTTGATTTGACTTTTATCTTATTTGCTTTTTATTTTTTTCTAATTCTAAGAACCAGAACAAGATAAAAAGTATAAAGTTATTATAAACCGAGAATAAGTTAATCTATAATTGCAAAAAATGGACGTAAACAGGAATTTGGACTTCCGTGTATTAAGTAAGAATAAAAACAATAGCCATTTTGCTTTTCAAGATATTTACTGAATAGAAAATAAAAGTCTTATTTTTACTAGTGATACATTGAAAGAAAAAATTATCTGCGGTAGTAATTTAGATGGTAAAATATGGCATAATATTTTTAATTGGCTGTAGCGTCCAATTTTTGGTCGTTAGCCATCACGCTACAATTAAAAATTGGTTGCTGCAATCAAAAATTGGCTGTTGCAGCTAATTAAAAATGCTATGCCTTATTCAGCCAATTCTTTTTCAGTCATTTATCGTGCATTTAAATTTAATGATTTATAGAGTACGTAGAAAATATTTATTTAGTCTTATTTTCGATTAATCGAAGAATGAATATAATCTATGCGTAGGTAATTATGGGAGACAGACCGGCGGCGGAAAGGGCATGCAAAGATCCCAATCCCATTATTGATGGTCGCAAAGCAAACGTCAATTTAGCCATTCTCGGAGCTAAGCCCAGAGGTAACTTGCAAACGAGTGAGTATATTTTATTCTATATTTTATTTATACAAAACTGATAGCATTTGCCAATTGAATTTCGTATTTTTGATATTTGCGTATTACAGTCACGAGTTTTACTCTATTGATACATTGCCAGATATCTGAAACTTTGTTCGTTGTAGTAATACGCGACGCATTTTGAACACGTAGGATAAGAATTCTGTCACATTATTTAACAATCATCGGTAATTATAGGATCGTGTGTATCTAACGTAAGTTGGAGGAGACATTTAATCAACGTGATTTATTTTCAACGTTAATTGTATAGCAGATAGATTGTGTAATATTTAAAATAATCATAGTTTGGCATGCTTCGAAGTTTTGTCTAACAGATAATCTTGAAATGAACAACAATTTTATGTACAAGTATACGGTTATGAAACAAAAAGAACGAATGACGAGCAGCCAAATAGTGAAGTGTCCCCTGAATCATTCTCTCGAACTCTCTTGGTGGCTTCGAGCCAGCATGGCTTGGCGCTTCGAGACCTGAGTCTAAATTTGCGTTAACCCGAGTGCCGGTCTTGTCTGGCTTTCTTTTTTTTGATACAAGAATTATCTCTAGTTTAACGCTGAGTGAGAACCTCGTTTTAAAGTTAAATTTTAACTGCCAGTGCAGTTATTATACATGTTTAGTGTTTACAATTTTTCTTCCAATACTGCAAAATTACTTTCTACATTGTATCCATTTCTATCTATTTTATCTTTATCCCATTTTCAGAATTTCAATATAACTGAAAGAATTCTGGTTCTCTTTCATAAAAAGATTAAAATTCTGACAATTAGTATTTAATATAAAGACAAAAACAGAGAATGGCTTATAATTTCTTAGATGGCAATTTTTCAGATTTTCCAATTATTTTTAAAATTAGGTATTCCTTCTGTTGTAATATTTTTATAATTGCCAGAATTCTTTTTAGTATGTAAAATTTTAAAATTAGGAGAGACAAAACTTTATCAATTCAATCGGATTTAAAAATATACTAACAGCTTCATAAAAGTTATATTGCGTCAACAACCAGGAAGGACGAAATATTCTTGATAAGTCATCGTGATATATTCGATTGCATGGCTATTTCAAGTTTATTACATGCCGTAATGCACTCTCAGATAGCGAGCATGCCATTGAACCATCAGTACGTAGGTTCGTGCGCACGTTTTACGTACACTTATGTGTTTGTGCTATAATACATATTTATTTCTATTGACGGCGGTGCCGCATAGGATCAACAATTATTAATAATTGTTAATAGAAGTTTTCGATAACACGCTTAAAAAATAATATCAAAAAAATATACAAAATTTGCGAATCGATTTTGAGTTTTTATAATTGGACGATTTGTTCAGTCATCAACACGAAAAATATAGATTTCTAATTCATAATGAATCATGCGAATTTATGTTTACTCGATTATTTTTTTAAAAGATATCACACTTGCTACTTTTGTAATAATAATTTTATTCTGTGTATATTGATCCGGTAAGACCAAAGAGACATTAGTTCTATATTGATTATACCAATGAATGAAACATTACTGGGAGATGTGGTGACACAGATTTCTAACTAAAAATATGAATTATTTTTACTATTCTTTCCATGAAATAAAATTTTAGAATATACGCTATGATGAATTGTGCTTAAATGTAATTATCAATAAAAACAGTTTTTTATATTTCGTTTCAAAATTTAATGTCTAAAAAATAATAGAGAATGCTATTAAATCATTATACATTTTTAATTGATAACTTATCTAATTAATGTTGATTGTATTTTAAAAAGAAGAAGAATTAAGATATATCTATGAGATTGAAATAATAATATTATTATATTATTTTATAATCTATTTTCACATTTTTAGTAAATATCAAAATTGTATTATTTTAAGCAAAATTTCATATTTCAAATATGTCGTAAAAAAGGAATTGTTAGCAAAAGAATAAGTATATTAAGTACATTAATAAAGAAGTCTAAAATTAATTATTAAAAACTGAGATTCACCGATTATATTTGTGATTCTAGCATTCCCGTTCGCTGCAGGTATCCGGGCTGGCTACCCAGCAGTACTTCCCGGACAATATGGGTGAGTCTACATTTATGTGCTTTATGCGAGGGATATTAAGAACGTATATGTCGTATAACTGTAGCTAGATCAAAGTAGCCTGAGCCAGAAATATATAATTCTCGTGATCTCGTTCAAAGTTGATGGCTACCAAATTTATTCGCTGCAAGTCAATGAAATCATTTTCGCGCGTAATTTTTCGCTTTCTCGAGCGCTCGTTCAATTATTAAACAGATAAGTCAAATTGCAAAATAGTTGATCATTTTCGCAGTCATTATTTAAATTTGCTAATCACTATCTCGTAAATGGGAAATAAAACGGAATATTTTTTTGTGTTACGTGATGGGAATAGTTTTTGAAATCCATCCTTACAACGAGCACACAAGTTCTTCAATTTTACGTAAGAATTTCTCGGAAATATCGGATATACGATGGCAATTAACAGTCGATAATGCAACATTTGAGAGCCACGAAGGCACTCGCTTAACGGAATCGCACGGTCGAGTAATTTTACGAGCTTTTTTTTAAAGACACCATATATATGACGTTTCAGCATCCTGACGCGCGCGCGTAAGGAGACGGGCAGAGAGTTCTCTTTCCGAGATCCTTGAGACGGCCAAGGGCCATTCTAAGGACCCCATATTAACGCGAAAGAGAGACAAAGACATGAAAAAGAAAGAGAAAAGAGGGCAAACGTATTAGCAATCAGTGAAAGAGAGAGAGAGAGAAAGAGAGAGAGAGAAAGGGAATGAGAGAGAGCGGCACACGCACACGTATCAAAAATCTACACGTATGAGTACCTACGAATTTCTTTCCATGAAGTACATAGTGAAGATCTTCCGGGATCGGCCTGTTCTTCTTCTCCTAACGTACTTTTTTGACTGTGTTTTTTTTCTTGTTTCTTTCTTAGTGATACTGACGTGAAGTGATGATAATGATTGCGGTTGCTGAGAGATTTGCGATTGTTTGTTATTTTTGGTGTTAGTTTTTTTTTAATATTATATCTTTACACTCTTCACACTCTTTTTCTTAATAAGCATAATATTAATAATGATAATCGTAGCAATAATAATCGCAGTGCAGATACCTCTTCGGTTCGACATTACTGCTCGTATAAAATAAAATCGAAATGTTCTAGTCCGTTATTTAGTTTATGCTCAATTTTTTCACCCCTAGATAACTTTTATCCAGAAGATATCTCCCAGAATACAATGGAGATATCTCCTAGATAAAGTTATCCATAACTTATCTAGAAGTGAAGAAATTGGGCATTAGTGGGCGAATTTTATCTTCATTGTAAATAGGAACAGAAAAAAAAATACAAGGGATAATGTTACTATCAGTTTAGAAAATGGTTCTCAGAATATATCGGAGGTATAAAATGTATTAGTTCAAGAAATCATTTTAAAAACTTTGACACATCGAGAGAAACTGCAAGTTTTCTATAATATTTTTTTTGTACTCGTTGAGGCATTAGAAAAAAAATAAATTTAAAAAAACAACGATATGTCCAATCTATATTGAACAGTACGTTGATTAGTTAAAATAAAAATCAATAAAATTTAACTTTCGGCGTAATTTTCTCGGTCAATTAATGGTTTTTTATTATTGAAATTAATAAATTTTCGCAATTAGAAATTAATGAGAATGTTATTCGTTTATTTTTATCGATGAGCGATCTTTTTCTTATGTAATCTTTTAAAATATAATCTTTTTCTTCACTTTAGTACCTTTATTTTCGTAAATAGTGTCTTTTGGCGACTCGTTTTTTTTATTTTTATTCTTATGTGTATATTCGTTTATTATACAATATAATTACTCTCTTTTTTGGTTTGCCTGTGGTGGCGGGAATACTAAAACGAAGCGAGGGTAAGGCATCTTCCAATTTTAGACGCGCATTTTCGCAATGTTTCCTTTCGCGTTGAGTCATTTGTTTTTTAGTCGAAACGAACGAGGTATTATAAAACACTTTAACGAATCTTGTAGCTAAACTGATTCCTAAACGTATTTTATCAATCCGGCTGCATTATTTCCTTTTTAGAATTAAAGAACCATGACATGAAATATGAATGTGAATGGCATAAAGAGCCGTATAAATTATAAAAAAAATAGAAGATTTCTTCGTTAAATTAACGCAAGCCAAGGAAGAAGCGTATCTGATCCGCCAACGAACCGTCCAGCCATTGCTTATAAATATTTAGTCTTTCGGCGTACATAGACCATGCAGACTTCTCGTGCCTCGTCTGTTCGCTTAAAACGCTTTTCGTGATTCCGTAAGAATGAGAAATGGATAGACGGAAGCCGCGAGTGCAACCGAGAGCCGAAGGATGAAGAGACGTTGGAATTCGGTTGAATAAAGAGTAACGCAGTCGTGATTTTGCAAAGACTATGCGAGATTCTCTTCTTCTGGAGTCTCCGCCGGAAATCGACCGGCACTGAGACACGAACGGCGTTTTAATTTTTGATCGCGCGACGATCGATCCTATCGCGGTTCACCTCGTTTGGCCCGGCGGCGGATTCTTCAATGCCGCACGAAAATTTCATCGAAATGTGGAGAACGTAAAAAATATACTCGATGGTAACAACAATTGAGATAGTCTTTCTCGAAGAATCAAGACTTCCGCTTAACAATTCACTGTCCCTACATTAATCCTACTTGTGATGTACATAAATGAACAAAAATTAAACTAGGCAATATTATGTCGCGTCGAAAATACTCAAAATAGACGAGAAGATCGATTCAGCGAAATTATTTCTGTCAAGTTTCAAATTCGGGATAGAGACGACGCGAGATAGATATACTCCTCCTTGGAATGCGATAAGGTGATTCGAAGTGTTTTTCACGAAATATACGGATGCCCATCGAAACTGTATAGGGATTCGCTCTAACCACTATAATATTAATAACCTTGTGTGTGTGGTGAAGGCTTACACTACACTTGGTGTCGCTATTGGTGTTGTATTTTTTGGTGTTGTATATGGGTGGTTTTTGGACTTTTAAATAACACGGTATATTATATACATATATATTTATAGCTTTACGTCATGAGATAACGAAATGGAATATGGTATCGAATATCTTTTTTTTACTCCGTATTAGTTATCGAATAATTATCGTTTACACCAATGATAGGGACGTCACTATTGCAATAAATTCCCGAAATTATCAATTTTTTTGTTGTTTCCGCGACTTCGGAAAAACGTGAACATTTACGCAAAAATGCTCGTAATTTGATTCCTTATTGTCACTCTTCGCGTTGGTTTTTTTCACGGAGTAATCTGAAACTCTCTTTTTTTATCGCTTCTTAATGACAGATCGCTGGAGGGATCTTAACTTTCCTCATCTCGCGAAGAAACGTGTCGCAATCACATGAAAGAAGCGTGAATATATAGAAGCGTCATACGAAGGGGGTTCGTTTTTTGTGCGATCCAGTGAAGCCCCATGCAAAGGCCAATTGGCTCTCGCGTAGTCGAAATTACGAATTCGAATTATTAGATTCTCTAACAAAGTCGGTCTTATTTCATTTAAAAGCATTTACCTATAACGTAAAAAAAAAAAAGTTAAAATCGCACAAATGAGTATAATACCTATATTACAATAAAATAAAAATTACTATATTTTTAGATGGATTTAAAAATAGCTCTTTATCATTATATATGAAATTATCTTCATTGACGAAATCGTACTGACGTCACGTTTGCGTGCAATAAATAAATGCAATGCGGCGCAACTCTGTGGCTCGCTAACAATGGCGAAATTTTTCGTCACGGGAGAACATTCGCGCGAACTGTATCGCCCGAAAATTCGCATTTAGCACGTCGACATGCGTTATTGTCGAAAAACGTCGTTATTGTCGGCGTCACGCATAGGCGTAGATGCGTGGTTTGTTTCGGGTCGCGCGTCCTCGAATTAGCGAAATGTAGGTGGAAACGTGAAATTCAACACCAGTCCGGACGTCGTGGTAGACGTCAGAGACGGTTCCGTCCAACGGTGCTGGTAAATTTGTGTCGTAAGCGAACGCCGACGACGACAACGACGACGACGACCACGACGGTGAAGAGCGACGACGCCGAACGTCTCGACCGGCCATCTTGCAGCCGTGCTGGCGACGGTCCAGTCTTTATTTAGCACCACCTGTCCCTCATGTCAGCTTCTCTTTAACTGTAAGCTGCCACCGCTCGGTAGGCCCTATCGAGAGGATTCTAACGCGATTTAAGGCCGTTCCTACCAAGACGATGTAGCCGTGTTAAAAAATCCACGCTTATTTATGCTCCCGCACATCACTTCCGCTCGCGTTGCTATACCCATTCGTTACACATAAACCGAAAATCAAGACTGAATTAAGAGAGGTGACTCAACTCTTTGGCTATAAGATGAATGCTTCCTGCTTCGATTTTTCTTTTTCGCGAGAGTATCGAACGATTTCACACACAAACCTTGTTTCAAACTAATTAATAATTATCTCTTAAAAAAAAAAACACGCGATTTGAGATGCACCTATACGAACTGTTTACTTCTCTCTATAATTTGACCTATACTGTGTCATATCTGTATATCAAAGCAAAGATGAAACGCTTCAAACATATCACCGTGTCGCTAGCTATCTTTTATGATATACAACGCTGTCTTAAAAAAAAGTGTACTCTTTTTGACTCATTCGTAAAACCGTTGACTCATGTCCTTTGAAACAGTCGATTCTAACGTCGCGGGTACCACTTCGGTATTTCATTTCCGTCTCACGCGTCGTTGGCGGGAATAAGATCTACGCTCATTTCTTTCGGAGAGATGAAACGGTGCAGGGTGTTAAAGGTCCATTTCTATTTTCATTGCCGCGGCTCCCATCCACCTGTCGTCGTCGCTCTTCTGACGCAAGCCGTAACATCGCACTACAAGACAGCAGCGAACGTTCTGTATCGCATTTACATAAATACATTGAGGCCGCATTTAAACTTGCATCTCGAATTTTAGAACAGCGCGATTCCGGATGATGTCTCGAAATTTTAGAACTGTCACTTCGAAA